GGGCATATCAAATTTGATTTCTTTCAACATATCATACAATCGGTTAGAAGGGCCACTTCTGAAAAATGGAGCCTTTCTTAATGCTTCAATTGAATCATTGAAAAATAACACAAGTTTGTGTGGGAACGTCATTAGGTTGATGCTTTGTCCAGCCAACCACAATGAATATTGTGCGGGGTGGGTGTTTCAATGCCGAATATCTCATAGGTGTCGAAGGACAGGGAAATGTTTACAAGGCTGACTTCCCTTTAGGTGAAGTCTATGCTGTGAAGAAACTTCATCCAGGAACAAATGGAGAGAAGCCTAATTTTAAAGCTTTTGAGAATGAAATTCAAGCTTTGACTGAAATCAGGCACCGTAATATTGTAAAGCTTTGCAGGTTTTGCTCACATCCATTACTCTTATACTTAAACTCTTCTATTCCCTCAAACAATCATCATTTTTTTCTTCTACCCCTCTTTCACTTTCTGCCAAATCAATTATCCTTCTCAAATGTGTAACCCTAAAAATGGGGAATCAAACACCCAGATCCTTGAAGATGGAAAAAAGTTTTAATCTTTTCAGGTACAATTCACTGATCATTCATGTTCAATACCCTCTCCGACATGGGTGGCAGTGGCCAAGTCAACTCCACCGCATCCAATAACTTTATGAGATATGTCATGTTCTTGCTCAGATTTTAGAAACCTTACTTTTAAAATGTTTATTTTATCAACATCCCACCTCATAAAAAACTTAACCCCGTTAAGCTAATTTAACGGCAGGAGCCTAATTGACTCAAATTAGCAATTTTTAGGACTAAATTGGATAATTGTTAAGATGTCGGCAAATGTACCTAATCGTATCAAGTATAAAATGGTAAGACCAAATATCGTATCCCAAAAGACTCACGACACTAAACAGTCATGTAATTACTTAACTAATTACGACTTAAGAACATTTTTTGGGGTTTTTGAATGCAAATGCAATAAAAATAAACATGAATGCAATTTGATCAATTGAGGCTAAACACTAGAAGGAATGGATGAAGTTGATAATATGAGATGATAATGTTGTTGGGGGGTTTAGATTTCACCTAATCACTCTCATGCATATATGAATTCTTTTTCTTCATTAAATTGTTAACATCACTCTCTAAATTACTTAAAACCCGATTCATCGGCAAAGAAAGCCTATCCTTAATTACTAGACCACAATCCCTTGCATCCCTAATAATTAATTCCTCATTACGATTAGGAGCTTAAGACAACCAAAACTCATATCCTCATCCATGAGCAATACAACTTTTGGAAGAAATTCTCCAGATCGTGATTCGTAAGATAACTCCCGATACTCAAACAAATCATAAAATCATGCTATGAATAATCAAAACATAACAAGCATAGAGCAAAGGAGAAAATCCCTAACAATTAATGAATGAAGCATATTATAACTAAGAACAAATTCAAATACATGAGAGTTTAGAGGTTACATCTTCCCCAACAACAAAAGAGTTTAGTTTCCCATCGTCATGGAGAAACTAGGTGTACAATGGAATGGAAGAGATAGAAAAATCCTAGAAACTAAAGAGGAGAGCTCCCACATCCCCAAATCTGCCTACAAAGGAGCAAAACGTGTGTTTTTGTGCTCAAGCCATCAAGAGATACAATTCCTAGGACGTCCAAGTCTTTAAATAGATCAAAAAATAACAGAAAATGGGTCCAGGCCCAACATGTTGGCGCTCAACGCCCTCATTTAAGGCGCCTGGGCAAAACTGCAAGAAAACTGGCGCTCAGCGCCCCTAAAAGGGCACTCAAGTTTTGTGCGATACATGAAACTGGCGCTCAGCCCCCCTTTCTAGCGCTCAACCCTGACTAGTTGGCGGTCAGGGCCCCTTTCTGGCGCTCAGCTTCAGCTTGACTTTTTTGCATTGCGTCTTTTTCTCTTTTTCAGCATTCCAACTCCTTGGTACTTTACTCTTTTAAATCATTCCAATAACCTAAAAAATCAAGGGAATTTAGTGATAAAATCATCAAGTATACCCTCTACTCACTTATTCACAAAAGTATACTAAAAACATGAGTTCAAGCAAGCTTCTAAGTAAAAAAGGGTTGATTTAATGTCAATTGAATCATAGATAACAGTATGTTCAACTGTTATCAATAATCCAATCAAACGGGATCAAACTAGGAAAAACCCACATAAATAGGGACAACTTAAGGGATTTAACCTTATTTTGAAATCTATAAATATAGGTTTGAGATAAAGAGGTAAGTGGTGACATTTAATACGTAATAATATCTAGAACTGTCAAATCTTTGTTGACTTTGGCATTGGTGTGCTTTTGGAGATAACTTCCAATCTTAACTAAATGAACAGCTAGGACGAATAACAAAGTAAGGATAAGTACTCAAACCTTTAGGACATTCGTTATATTGTGACAAGCTGACCTTGACCTTATAACCAAATCATTTTGGCACCCACCATAGGGCATGAGGATTCAAAAGACAACCCAATGGTAACCACAAGGAACATGAACATAACAACACCAGGAGAGTCAAACATTCAGCAAGATCTTATGGACTTGATAAGGTAGATGCAATGTCAAATATAGGAGATGTAAAGGAGGCATGAAGAAGAACTAACAACTTTGAGGGTCGAGAACGCTACCCCACGCCACGAGAAGTCCGTCTAAAAGTCTATGCCAAGAGGTCCTAGTCAGTCAAACCTGAACAAACAAGTAGAAGAATCGACCAAGATAGTCCAACAAGGAAGTACAAGAGCTAATAAGGGGGCTCCCTCGATAGAGATGGTTCACACGATCAATTTGTTTTCGTTCAACCCAACAATCATGGAGATGCCCATGCTCGAGCAGTGGTCTCCTCTTATCTTTGCCAAGTATGATGGGTCAATTGACCCTGATGAACACTTGAGAATGTTCATTAACCTTATGGCATTCTACATATTGAGTGACCCCGTGTGGTGCAAAGCCTTCTCACTGTCTCAGTTTTGGTACGAAACTAGGCAAATTTAAAGTATAAATTACCGATTTATGCGAATTACGAAAACAAGCAAGTCGTGAGGGGTCCATATGACTTCAAATGAAGAAGTTGTGCCCCCCCTGCACGACTTCACCCATACATAGTGGTTAGAGGTGAAGTCGTGCACCCCAAAAATGATTTTAGGGCATGGTAATCGATTACCCGGGCTTGTAATCAATTAACACGCTTTTTTCCAAAATTTATTATAATGAAATAAATTAATTTTATGCATTTTTATTTATGCAATTACAATAATTTTGGTTAGAAATTATAAATGATTTTAATTAATAAAGAAATTAAAAAATAAAAAAAGTAAAAATGTGGGGGGTGTATGACTTCAATAGGAGAAGTCATCAACCCCCCTACAACTTCAATTTTCTTTTAATTTTTTGGTTTAATGTATTCGGAGGTCCCTATTTCTGGGATTCGTATCAATTGGGTCCTCCTATTTTGGAAGTGCTCAATTGGGTCCCTAATTTGACAAAATTGAGTCAATAATACCCTTTCCGTTAAATCCAATGGACGGCGTTAACTTTTTAAACAGGTGGCATGCTGAGGCATCCTTTTATTTCCAGGTGGCACAGTTTGAGCTTAACACGTGGATTTTATATCATTTTAAAGCATTCTTAAGAAGTTGGATTTATTTAATCCCTCAATTTGAAGGTCAAAATCCCTAAATTAAAAGGGTGTGTTAGGAGGTCGACCTTGTAATTCTGCGACGCAGGTGGCTGTAATGGTGTTGAAGCTTGTGCTTGTTATGGTTCGAAGACAATGTTGAAGGAGCACTTTTTCTATTCATCGAGTTGTAGTGCCAAGCGGAAGGAAAATAGTACGTCTTCACCGATCTGCCACTGTGGTCAAAGATCTGTGGTGAGAACTGCCAAAACTATGAAGAATCGGGGCAAGCAATTTTGGGGATGCTTCAAGTATAAGGTATGTTAAATTCAACCTAATTAAGTTGTGGTACTGTTTCTGAGAACACGACATTGTTCAATGGTGGTGAAGACAGTGGTACTCCCTAATTAAGTTGAATGTTGTCTTTATAGAACGGTGGTGAAGACGGTGGTTGCAACTTCTTCAAATGGTGCACTGATATTGGGTTTGACGAAAGGGGTAGCTACTTCAACAGTGAAGGAAACAAAGAAACTTTGGTGAACAGTGAAGACATGGATAGTACTAGGAAAATGATAGTAAATTTACAAAAATCAGTGTTCATTGTTCAAAAGTGGATGAAGGTGTTGATGTTGTTGGTTTCTGTTTTATGTGTAATAGATATAATTTTAGTTTCAATGTTGATGGGGAAGGGATGATTTCTTGTAACTTTGTTGTAGGTTGGTTATGTTGTAATGAAATAAATGAAATGAAGAGTTGTTTCGTAATTAATGGAGTTGTGCTTATAGAATCTGATATGTGTTCATTAGTAAGCATAGGATGATTGTAATTTGACTTGAATATAAAGAATTGGTTTACATAGAATTGAGTTACAAAATTAGTATAGTAATGCACATAATATGTTAAGGTAAGGAAGAAAACATTGCAGTGTTCAGCTTGATACTTCTGTTTCATATAACTTATCAAACCTTAAGTGTACTCAGTCCTGTTTTATATAACTTGATATTTTATCCTTATCAAACCTTAAGTGGTATGAATCATTCCATAAAAGCAAAGATAACATTCCATAAAAGCAAATATAAACATCAGAATTGGTTACAACACTGAGATAAACATCAGAATTGGTTAAAAAAAATATGTGCTGAAATTGTGACATCAGAATTGGGTCAACATCAAAATTGGTTCAACATCAGAAATGTTTACATCATTAAAAGGTAAAAAAAAGATGTGCTAAAATTGTGACATCATATTTGGTTCAACATCAGAATTGTTTACATCATTAAATGGTAAAAAAAATATGTGCTGAAATTGTCACAAGTAAACATCAGAATTGGTTACAGCACTGAGATATACATTAAAATTCCCTTCCTATGCTTCAGGCTCATTTGATGATGGTATGTTTGGTTCATTTTCTGGGTTGCTTTGTTGTGTTTGGTCAGGGTTCACATCACGATCTTGGGTTGATTTCTGGCAAGAAGTTCTGTTGTGACCCAGCTCCCTACAAATGCCACATCTTTTATGTATACAATCATTCCTCATTCTTGTGTCATCCCTGACTAACTCCCATTCCTGCAACCTTCTTTTCTTCTTCGGCCTCCCTGGCAATATTCTCTTTTTTGGAGGGAACACATCATTATANATATAACTTGATATTTTATCCTTATCAAACCTTAAGTGGTATGAACATTTCATAAAAGCAAAGATAACATTCCATAAAAGCAAATATAAACATCAGAATTGGTTACAACACTGAGATAAACATCAGAATTGGTTAAAAAAAGATGTGCTGAAATTATGACATCAGAATTGGGTCAACATCAGAATTGGTTCAACATAAAAAATGTTTACATCATTAAAAGGTAAAAAAAAGATGTGCTGAAATTGTGACATCAGATTTGGTTCAACATCAAAATTGTTTACATCATTAAAAGGTAAAAAAAGATGTGTTGAAATGGTCACAGGTAAACATCAGAATTGGTTACAGCACTGAGATATACATTAAAATTCCCTTCCTATGCTTCAGGGTCATTTGATGATGGTATGTTTGGTTCATTTGCTGGGTTGCTTTGTTGTGTTTGGTCAGGGTTCACATCACGATCTTGGGTTGATTTCTGGCAAGAAGTTCTGTTGTGACCCAGCTCCCTACAAATGCCACATATTTTATGTATACCACCATTCCTCATTCTTGTGTCGTCCTTGACTAACTCTCATTCCTACAACCTTCTTTTCTTCTTCGGCCTCCCTGGCAATATTCTCTTTTTTGGAGGGAACACATCATTATATGGGGTAATCTGCCACATGTTCTCACTATTAATTAGATACACAATGGAAGAGTACATTTCTCCATATGTTGACTTCCTAAAACAAACAGGGATGAAGTCCTCTGCATCTAAATTCAGAAACTTCATACCAGCCAACGCATGACAACATGGAATGCCCGAGATAGCCCATTTCCTGCATGTGCATTCATATTTGTCTATATCAACTACAAACTTGTCCCCAACTTGGGACACATGAAAGACTTCAAACAGCTTCAATGCTGACCAATTGGAAAAACAAAATTAATATTCAGAAACTTCACATTTGTTTAGGAGTTGAACACATGATAAATGTTAATAAATTAAGCTTACCCAGGAATCCAAAATTTAGTTAGTTGGGACTCCTTATTAACTCTACTCTTAATTTTAGGACAAATCAACCCAGATAATTATTCACTTTTTGTTCGGTTTGTTGCCCATCTATTCATCAAGTAAAGGCGGATCTCCTCCAACATGGTTATGATTGGCTTTGACGTTGTTTGCACAAAAACACTGTTGAATGCCTCTGACATGTTGTTTACCAAAGTATCACACTTAGAAGTGGTGGTAAACCTTGATCGTGACCAGTATCTACATTGCAAGAGATTATGAAATATTACTATCACATTCTGACACTTGCACAAGTATGAATTGAATCACAAACACATTTATTGAAGAACATACATAGGAGGAATTTTTATTAGGTATTTGAAAGCCTCAATGATGACTTCCTTTAATTTTATCATTTCGGTTTCCCAAGCTTGTGGATGGGTTGTTGTAGCTGCCTTCCACATCAACCGCTTTAGCTGCTTTCCAAGGAATTTTTTCCTGAAATTTGCGTAAAGGTGCCTAACACAAAAGCGTTGATCAACTCCAGGGACCACTTCTTGAATAACTTGCATTAAGCCCTGTAATTTGAAATTGTCAGTGTTGTTAAAGGTCAGATATCAATAACAATGAAAATGAACATACGTTTTTAGGAAAAAAAAGGCATGTGAATAACTTTTTGTTGATATGATATGAATGTCAATTATGCATGTACTGGCTCCCCACCAACGTCTTCAACCAGAAGTTCCAGAAACCATTTCCACGTGTCCTTGTTCTCTACTTCCACAATGGCATATGCTAGAGGTAGCATCTGGTCATTTGCGTCTCTTCCAACAACAGTTAGCAATTTCCCACTATATTTACCTTTTAAAAAAGCACCATCCAACCCTATAATTGGCCTGCAGGACACAAAACTGTCCTTGCAGGCCTTTAGACAAACATAGAACCTATTGAAAATATGTCAACCAACATTATCTTCCACTTGCACCTTCACTGTGGATCCAGGATTACGAGTTAGGAGCTCGTTCGCATAATCATATATCCTTTTATATTGCTCTTTGAAAGACCCATCTACATGGTCTGAAGCAATGGCCTTTGCCCTATAAGCCATGGATCTAGATACACCTACATTCCACTTTCTACTTATCTTGTCACGAATTTCCACTCCTTGACTTTGGAATTTTCTCTCACAGTTTTCTCCAACCTCTTACTCAGCCATTTTGAATTAAGTAATTTGACTTTGTGCTCTCTACTACAGATGTGGTTGTCAACAATAGTCCTTAATTGCCACGTTCGTACTGCATTCATATAAGCACAGTATGCCATCTAAGGGCAATTTCCTTTACCACCCATACATTTGACCCTAATTCTCTTCTTATCATTTTTAACATATGTTAGATTTCTTCCATTTTCTACTGCATACGTTTTGATGGAATCCAGAATATCTTGCTTGTCAGCAAAATAAGTCCCCAAATCCCACTTGTAATCCACCATTGTTTTAGGCATACTAAATGTTACAAACTTTCCATAATTGTCTTCTTCATCATCTTCTCCATGACTTTCTCCTCCACTAAGAAATTCTTCTGATTCCCAATTATCACCGGACAAACCTCTATCATTGTCAATATTTATACCATCATCAACATCACTATCGGACATGTGAGTCCATGATGGTCCATCATCTTGCACATCAACTTCGATTTCACCAAACCAATTCCCAACTCCATGACCTACCTCTTCTTGTATATCACAATCAACTAGGTCTTTCATACAGTCATCATTAACATCCACATTGCAATCAACATTAGCATCCTCACCACTAGAACTCCAGCTACGAACATTAACATCATCTCCTTCAGATTGACCCACATCACATTCAGCTTCAATTTGACCTTCTACAACATCATCTCCCTCACATCTTTATTCTGAAACATGAACTTCACATCTCTCAACTACCACGTCATTCACCTCACCATGATCTTGTTGACACTCACCATCACCTTCCTCTGTACACTCACCATGACCTTGTTGACACTCACTATCACCTTCCTCTTGACACTCACCATGACCTTGTTCACACTCACCATCACCTTCCTCTTGACACTCACCATGACCTTATTCACACTCACCATCACCACTATCACGCATCACAGGTTGAACTTCTTCTTCACCTATATTATGAGGAACATTTTCTAACAAGTCCATGATCTTAGGTTCAGACACAGTGTGAACAACAAATAGATGAACCTCACCATTTAGCCTAGATAAGTTAATCATGTGCATGGCTCCTCTATCATCACACAAAGGCTCTAACCTATTATCTAACACAGAACCCCCCTACACAATACAACAACTCCTTAAACCCATTTTGCCTAGTTTCTTACAAAAATCCATTGTCTCTAAAGGGAGAAATATTAGCATGGTTCAACTCTCGGTCACCCAAATCCATAGGCAACTTCTCGACCATAAGCTCCATGTTCCGCAGGTAGTTCACACGAGCCCCGAACACAGATCTGACCACCTTGGCTTTGATTAACATTAAGCAAGAGAAGTATGAGTCTCTATAAGCTTTCATAGACCGGTACAACAAGACTACTTGGTAAATCAAAGACTTCAGCGAGAAGTTTGTCTTACATCATGTCGTCACGGCCTTAAGAGTTGGGCCATTCATTGATAGTCTCTGCATGAAGCCAACAAAGACTATACAGGAACTAAGGGAGATAAGTATTGAGTTTATAAGGATAAAGGACATGCAGGAATATCGCAAGAAACAATAGTAAGAGGTTGTGAGTGCGAGCTGTGATAAGAAGGAAGGGAAGAAGCTGGTGACGAGGAATGATAAGGGGAACGACTCCCGACTGAAGGACCTCCTTCAAAGCAAGCGATTCCATCAATACACCGCCTATAATGGCGACGGCAAGAAACATTGTCAGTATCACCAAAATCTGAGGCATACAATGAAGTAATGAACTACCTTCTTGAATAAGATAAAGGAATTGATTCATGAGGCTCACCTCTAGAAGGACATCAAAATCGACCAACCAAAGGAGCTCATCTCATAGGTAGAGCCCTAAACGACGTGCTCATCACAATCGCAGAAGCAGAAGTAGAAGTAAAAGTTGGCATCGGTCGTTTCAGGGCCATATAAACACAATCTCAAGAGGATTCACTAGCGACATGTCTTCATCGTCTACCAGGTAGAGGCACTTTAGTAGTCCAAAGATAATCCACTTGGTGGACAGGAAGCCTAAGCTCATGTCGTTGATAACCTTCATGGACGATGACTTCAAAGCACTACATCCCATTTAGAATGACCCCATGGTCATCACGATCGAGATCACTCGGTACAGAGTCAATAAGTTCTTAATAAACCAAGGAAGCTCGGTCATTATCCTCAATAGGAAGACTTTTCAGAAGATTGATTTTTCAAAACACCTGGTCGTTCCTTACAATGAATAGATCATGGGTTTCGCAGGCGAACAGGTGGACACATGCAACTATGTTGATCTACGAGCAAGGTTGGTTGTTGCCCATGATGGAAAAGAGATAAGGGTGAGGTACCTATTGGTGGAGGCGAAAACCTCTTACAACATGTTGACGTGACGACCATGTTTGAACACATTTGGTGTAATCATCTCCACACCTCACCTCATCATGAAGTTCCCCTGTGACAAGGGAACCGTATGCACAGTCTATGCTTACCAAAAGACTGCACGAGAATGCTACGTAGTGGGGTTAAAGGTAGAACCCTACGTACCTCTCAAGAAAGTTAAGCAATCAAAGGTGGCGATGGTCGATCTAGAACCGAGAACAAAGATGAAAGACCGGATGGATCAACAAGATGACATTAAATAATTGAATCTAGGGAAGAAGAATGCTTAAGTGACGAACATTAGCAATAACTTGAGCTAGGAGCTTGAGATGGCTCTGAACGCTCAAGGCCAATAGTGACATGTTCGCTTGGACTAAGGCAGACATGTCGGGCATTCACCCGATTGTCATGTTCCACAAGGTGGCCTTGTTTAAGGAAGAGCGCCCGATGGTACAGAAAAAGAGAAGGCTCGTAGAGGAGAAAAGAAGGTCGTGAAGGCCGAAGTAAAAAAGCTTTAGGAAGCAGGCTTCATCCGGGAGGTCACCTACACCACATGGTTGGCGTACATGGTAATGGTCATGAAAATGAACGGTCTATGTTTCCCTGAAGAATGCCTACCTCAGGTCATCAGATCCTTAGCTTTTGGAATGTGTATTCTAGCTACAACCAGATACCCATGTACCACCCCGACTAGGAGAATACAACATTTATCACTAAATAAGCAAACTAGTGTTACAATGTGATGTCGTTCAGGTTGAAGAACGTTGGAACCACTTACCAATCTTTGACGGAGAAAGTCTTTCACCACCAAATCGGCAAATGCATAGATGTATATGTAGAAACACCCCTAATTTTGGAATGTTACAGGTTTACAAATACTTTTAAAAATTTAACTCTGATACTATTTCGAAATACAGCTTAAATAAAAACTTCTATTTATTATAACCAAATTTGAAAAACTTCATAAATCAAATGTATCTATAAAGCGTTTATATAATCTCATTACAAAACTATTAATATATAAACTAAAACCCCATAGTTCTCCCATGTATCTCGCTACTCAACTTCGCTTTAGCTACATCTGTAGCAACATCTACTCCCATACAAGTATGATCATCGCAGGTGAAAACCACAATCACAACACGCAAGGTTGAGCTAACAGAAACATGTCATATAAACATACATAAGCATTAACATCAACTTAGAATAAGATTAGAATAGTACATATCATCATTCACTTACACACATCTTTACATGACAACACATCAAATCATTAACATCTGCACTACCAGAATTTCAAGTCACCAGTATAAAACCACAAAATGATTTCGTCAAAGTAACAAATTCACACCCCGACTCCCTCGATCATTCACCAACCCACACCCTAATTTATTTGAAACCATTCACTATACATTGAATCATCACCGGTTACTCATATACAACATAAGTTGAGTGTCACCTCCCACCACTCTCTTAAAGAGCTTCATCAGGCTAGTACACTTTACCACACCATTACATAATGACATATCCCACCACTCTCTAGAAGGCTTCACCGGCAAGTACACCACTTCCCACCACTCTCTTAGAGCTTCCCCGGGCAAGTATATGCTTTCCACCACCCTTTTGGGCTTCACCGGACAAGTATACACCTCCTACCACTCTATTCCCAGAGAGCTTCACCGAGCAAGTACCAGTGTTACTCCCATCACTCTTCTAGGAGTTTCACCGGGCATCACAAACATAAACCCAACTCCATAGGAAATAAACAATATTATACTTTACGTAAAACATAAATAAATACACATACAATTCAGAGGCGCCCTTCTTCTACCTTTTCTCTTTAAAACAACACAACTTATATTACTTCCTGCATGCCACTTTCCATGGTCTCCACTCTATCTTCCACATTCATACACACAACGTCCAAACTCGTTATACACACCACTAATATTGATTTACAGACAACCTACATTATGTACACATACAACAACTAACGAATTTCCCAAACAAGAAGAAAACCCATAACCATTTTCTCGCTTAAACCCCAACAACTCTCCGTAGCCACATTCATGCACTACAACCAACAACCATCATCTAATCCCGCTACTTCTTTCCTCTTCTCACATGCATCACAACAACATACCCTCAGACACTCAACCCCCTCGGAACTCCACTGGATGATCTCTCGGCCTCTCACCTTCATCGCAGTATTATCTACCCAAGATAGAGTAGTGGTACCCCAAGTCACCGAGAAAGTGTATAAGGCCTCACAGTCCTACTAGTCTCGTCAGGAACCCTTATACACTAGCCCACAACTTTTAAATACAACAAAATTATCACCAAAAACAATCAAAAACATAACAGAGGGATCAAAGGAAAATTATTGTACCTAAACCCACATGTTAAGAGTTATATCATTCATTTTCCACAAGTTTGTGAATCAATAACAACATTAAACACTCCTTAAGGACATCATCCAACCCGTGCAAACCCCAACAACTACAACATTATTAGTTTGC